CACCTGCCGAAGAGGCGTTGTAGCTAGGCCTAGTGGAAATAAATATAACCTCGAGGTTGGAAGGTGATTGGATTGAGAAATTAAAATCTATTTGTGGAAGAAACGCAGTGCAAGGATTATTATTTTGAGAGGCAGAGGCACGAGTGAATTGAACTGGTGAAGACGTGCATTATACATCGGCATAGGGCCATGCCTACACGTGCCAGCAAAATAGGGAAGTTAGACAAAAGGGAGGTCCATTTCGTATGGTCTAATGGTCAATTCGGTTTATATAGGATAACCCAAACACAAATAACTAGCAATGAAAACACCAAACCGAACACCATAAACCTAATAAATTAGGAATGTTAGTCAACTTAGTTCAGTTCGATTCTTCGATGTAAAAGTGCCCACCTCTTACTGTAATAGCTCGAAAAAAGAGACTTAGCTCACGAACAGTGGGGCAAAGCGCACATCACCCTCTAGTATTTGTTGAAAAACATTAAAACATGTGCAAAACACAACGACCCATCTTTGTTTAACTGGAATTTATTTTTTCGCAAAAAAGAATTGGAGTATATTGAAATAACGTGTGTGCACAATCAAAACATGTGAGTGGTAATATTATTGTCGACCGTTCATAAATATGTGCAAAACATATGTGAAGTGAAATGAATTTTCTTTTTGAAACATTAAGGATATCAACACAAAGATGATGAAACTCATGTAAAATAGTTAAGCGAAGTATAGTAAGACTCGCATAAATTTTGTACGTACCACCTTGGTGTCATTCTGATTTCCCCGCATGGTTCAAAGCTATTCCAAACTTCTTTTCTGTGAAACACATTGAACCGTCTTTGAAAAGTTGATTAAAATAGTGAAATATCTGTGTCTTGATACTTTTGTCAAACATGATGAAGTGTGTGGGAAACATGTCTAAAGCAAAATAAAATAGTTTCAAGAAAAATAATGATATCTTCAAAAACATGATTGAACATGTTTAGGCGCCACGGCTAAGGACAAGTAGAAGTAGCACAAAAATATCAAAATTGCATGGCTTCAATGACGTGGAGTTTCCCCTCCTGCTAGAAGGTTGCTAGAGACGAGAAGAACTGGCATAGATGGACAATTCTGTAAGAGAGACATAGACAAATATAGGCCTTTTTATAGGCAATAACCGGCTGAAATATTGTGGGAAACTAGAGAATACCCCGCGCGTTGCTGCGAGAATTGGTTGATGAAAAATTAGATTGATAACATGAGAACCAAAACTAAAAATACATGTGACTTATTATGTTGTAACAATATTTGTTGGATATATGTACATTTCCCATGCATGGTTTAATGGTGTGGCGGTCTTTTCCCATGCATGATTGCATACAGAAATGGCCGTCATCCCATTCATACTTATATGGTGAGGTGGCATGGATTATGTATAAATCCAACCTTCACTTCAAAAGGTAATGATGATTCAAATCTGGGAATCATCAAATATGATCCATGGGTGCGTATGACAAAGTTCTAGGTTGTAGCCAATGAAATTTTCAGCAAAACCATTTGATGTAAAACGGACACTCTGTAGTGATTCTTCGAGGTTCAGCTACACCTACACATCTAAGTGCAGTACCGAAAGGTAAAGGCCGCAAAGGTGTGTTGGCTAAGGGCATCTTGAACGGCAACCTGTAAATTTCTTTGTGCATCCGTCTACGGATAGAGGCACCAGTCCGCAAACATGGATGCGGGAAACCGTCATCCAACACTGCCCGTCTATATCCGGCTAACAATTCAAACTAACCGGACGAAATTCCTTCAAGCACGGCCGGATTTCATATAAACATGATGGATCTCATTACATTTACATCAACTAAGCTGTGCTAGTCCGGCTCTAGAGGTATAATTAATACCTAATATGAATGGTCGTCGGCGCCTGTTTCCTGTGTCCGGCCATGAACCCAAATAATTGAAGCTAGGAATGTGAATGTAAACAATTGTGGGTGGAATTCAGAAACAAATGCATGGAAGTTGCTTTGACTCTTGAATAGAAATTCAGGGAGACACAATTTCTTATTACCTTGTTTGTTCTGGTATGCAATTTAGGCGATCCTTACATGATGCAATGTAACTCCAAGGCTTCCAAATGGTGCATCTTGATAGCTGCAACTCTTGAAAAGAGCAGGGCTTATTCATACCATTTCAGTACTCTATTGAATTTTTACTCTGTGTAATGGATGAGAAGTTGTTTTATTATCGAATTGTTGTCTTATTTGTATCACATTTGATGCATGCTTAATCAGTTACGAGTGGTTTGCAGATGATGCGAGTTCCAGTTGTCCATGAAGGTTTGAAAGCTTGTTTTTGTTAAAGAAAATTTAAAATGCACATGCACCAGGTTTCAAAGGAGGAGGAGCAAGCTATGGTATTCATGAATTCTTTGGCCTGCTAGCTACTGTTAGCATGTATCAGGTGAAAAAAAACCTTCAGAACACATCAAGCTAGCAGCACTAGAGTTATATTACATCATGTTGTATGTAAGGAACGTCTCAATTGCCAATATGATTAATTGGTCGTTTTATTTCCGACATTTGCACTCACAACCAATAATCACCAACGATGGTTTCCAAATTCTAAACGTTGAAGCTATACAACAAGCCAACAAACAGCAATTCTATTGTACAAGTTCACCATACACATCCGGGGCGTGCATCAAACAAGAATAAGAAAAATTCGGAGACATAGCCGTCGTTTCTCTGCAAGGGGTTCTAGGATGTACTCGCCGCCCACGCTGCAACAGGACGGCGCCACTCGGTGGAGGCGCAAAGTGTAAGTCGAATGTGCAGATTTATGGCCATCCGTGACCTTGACGGGGGCCGGCAAACTAGTGGACGAGGTGTGCTGATTGTGGTCGGCGATGGCTTCGGTGGCGAGGAACAACAACAGGTGGGTCAATGTGGAGGATCGTTAGGGCTTGGACAAATCCAAGTTATGATGTTTTCTATATTTAGGGGCACTTTGCTGGTAAGACGGCAGTAGCCGGGCGCTTTATTGGAGAATTTCTATAACTGAGCATATACACACGATTTAGATCAAATGGTTGAAAACAGGAGTCTACATGGAGGACGAAGCAAGGCCGGAGGCACAAGATACCATGCCTTACATATTTGTATTAAACTTTTATACTTATATGACAATTTCTTTTTCTATTGTTCAATTCTCGTTATTAACCATATAAAAATGTTGCTTAATTTAGTTGTGATGTTCTTTGTTATATAACTATAACATCTATAATCAAAAGTATAATCGCTACACGCTAAACTTGCACCATATTATTTAGTAATTCAAATTACATTATTCTTCCCTTTGAATACATTGCCACTTAAAAAGATCTTTAAAAAATCCCCATAATTGTGAAAAAAGTAAATAAAACAAATAGGATCAAACTTTGTGTATTTGTGGATAAATTTAGGTCACTTGCATGAATTATAGTGTGTGCATATATTCATGTGTGGATGTTTGAGCAGATTTTGGAGGATTCTAAAATATCTTTGTAGAGATCTCTATAGTGTACGATTAGTAAGTATCTAGATCATGGTTTATAGTTTATGATTAGCCATAGTAAATAGAAATTTTTGGAGTGCATAAAGCATCTATGAGTATTATTGTCCTCGAATCTTTGAAATGCCACTTTACCGGGCCTTTTGTGGTTGAATGTAGCTTACGGCGTTCAATTGTTAGTTGACAACATGTGCATGGTAATATTCACTACTAGAATCTACGCCTTTACCGAATGCCCCCAAAACTTGGCAAAGGGCAAATAAAATTTGGTAAAGGTTTTGCTGGTGTTGTACTTGGCAAAGAGAGTACCCAACGTACATCTTACCGCAAACATATATGGAACTTGGGAATTGTGCATAACATATGATCTATTTACTGCAGGCGAGGTATGACCGGCAGGAGGCGGTTACACCGGCACCTCCGGCTTTTGGGCCGTGGTTTCCGAGGCGGAGCGCGCAGCGAGGCGGGAGGCGAGGTACGACCGGCGTAATGCCGGTCGCTGCTCCGCGTTGGCCAAGTCGGACGTGGCGCCGGAATGGGTTCGCAATGACCCGGACCTCGCCACGTGGGCACTCAACCGCTCCGTCACCATCTCGGAGACGTTCGCCAGGCGGCGCCGCCGCATGACGGCAAGCTCGCCAAGATCGACAAGCGCGCCGCGACTGCTCCACCAACGCCGGTCGCGGCAAAGCCACCGCCTGGGTCCGAAGGCTACATTGGCAGTGTCCGCGGTAACCCTCCGTACAGGTCATCAGAGCGACAGGCATACACCAGACAAGGCTGCCGCGGCCCTCCGGCATTGTACCGCTGCTGGAGGGACGACGCGACGACGACACATATGGCGACGGCGGTGCAGCAAAGCAGTTCGATGGTCGTCCGTATAGGGTTTAGGTTTTTTTTTCTAATTTTTTAGTTAAACGGTCGAAGTACCGACCTTTTTGTGTAAATTATGTCCGAGTTTTAATGAAATCCGTCTAGTTTGAACGAATTTCGTCCCTTTGATTCAGATTGTAGTTGAAATGTATGCGAGGAGCGTTGAGCCTCCCGCATCCATGTCCGCGGACGGGTGCAGGAGAAAATTCGCAGGTCGCCGTTGGAGATTCTCCATAGTTGTATAGCGAGATGGCATTGATACTTTACAAACGGGTCATAAATCCAACCTTGAGGTTCAAAAGATAATGATGCAAATTTCGGAATCATCAAACTATGATGCATGGGTGAGTATGAAAAGGTTCTAGGTTGTAGTCGATGAAAATTTCAGCAAAAGCATATGATGAAAAACGGACACTGGGCTGGGTAGTGATCTTCAAGGTTCGGCTACACCTACACATAAGAGTACAGTACCGAAAGGTAAAGGGCTAAAGGCCGCAAAGATGTTGGCTAATGGCGGTGATCGGAAGCCTCAAACTACTACACTAAACATCACGTTTTCCCCGCATCTTCATTCTCCTGCCGTAGGTGATAGTATATTACTGCAGGATGGGAGGGTGGCAGGATGGTCCCCTGAGCCACCCGTCGGCGACGAGCCTGTTCACCGCCTCCGTCGGGTGCACGCCGTCCCACGACTCGTGCCTCCACGGGTCGCCACACGCGGTCGCGCCCTTCATCCCGCACCGCGCGTCCAACTGGAAGTTGTACGGGCCGCCGCCCGCGCCGCAGCACGCGGCGACGGCCGCGGTGAAGCCGAAGCGCGCCGGGTCGCGGAGCATGTCCATGGCGTAGGCGTAGTAGTCCGCGTACATGATCCTCGCCGCCGGCCCGTGCCTGGCGCGGGCGCGGTTGAGCCTGTCCTGGAGCAGCGAGTTGTGGTACATGACGAGGTCGTTGAGCGGCTTGAGGCAGCCGTGCTCGTCGTAGTCCGACTTGTGGCGGCTCGGCAGCACCGCGAGGTAGAGCGCGACGCACCCGATGGGCAGCGTCCCCGGCACCACGATGTCCACCGCGCCCAGCTCGATCAGCCTCTCGAGGGCGGTGGCGATATTGTCGACGACGTTGGGGGCGTAGCTCTTGGCGCGGCTGACGTTGAAGCCGAAGAAGAGCATGGCGTTGTAGTCGTTGCCGCCGATGGAGCCGAGGAGGAAGAGGGACCTGGCGAGGTAGGGCCTGCAGCTCTGCGGCGTCCCGCAGATGCGGGGGAGGAGGTCGCGGAACCACTGGAGCTGCACGTTGATGGCACCGTTGTTCCAGATCGGGTAGCCGAGGCCGATGGACTTGAGGAACTCGAAGTCCAGCGCCGTGGCGCCCACGATGGCCATGTTGGCGCCCTTCCGGAAGTCGGCGCCGGGGAGCTTGGACGGGGGAAGAAAAGGGAGGCCCAGCGACTGCGCGAGGAAGTCGACGACGAGGCGGCCGTCGGAGCAGCGGCAGGTGGGGTGGCCGAAGTAGGTCATGCCGTAGGGCGGGTTGGCGAAGGTGAGCAGGAGCTCCTCCGCCGCCGACTTGTTCACGCAGAGGTTGCCCGTGTCCGACAGCGAGTCGCCGAAGTTGAACATGGCGTTGTACCGCATGGCCCCGCCGTCCCTGTCTGCGGATGCCAGCAGGAAGAAGCAGCTGCTGGCACCGAGGAGGAGCATGAAGCCGGCGGCGGCAATGACACCAGTGATTCGCCGAGCCATGGCCGTGTCCCCGTCGATCGATCTTGCACGTACGCGCTCTAGGCTCTAGCTCGCCAGGCGTGGCAACTACGCGGTGCACGAAGGTCTATATAACGTGGATGAGAGCCCTTACACGTACGCGCGCGCTGCGACACTTTGCACGCGCGTGCCCTCTCGCTCCAGCTGGCTGCTCACCGCCGACGATCTATCGAACAACCACCTCCGATGAGCGCTTCTCGATCGTGGTTAATTGCCCGGCTTGGACGCATGCGTACGTGCATTCATGCAACCTAGTGCCGTCTCCGGTCACGTACTGATCAACCGTAAGTTCGTCGTCGTCTCATCGGCGCGATTCAATGGAGCGCCCACACGGCCGTACGTGACGCGCGCTATGGCGTTCGCCGCGTGTGAATGCTGACTCTGTGGGCCGCCGACGCAATGTTTTCATATTTTTTTAACATCTGTAACCTTTATTATATTTGGATGTTCATAAGGATACAAATGATATCGGGCGTAGAAACAAGACACATATGGCGCCCGCTAGACAAAGAAACTGCAGCTTTTGCAAGCGAATGTGCTTCAAAATTATACTTCCTATTTTGATGAACAAAACGAAAATTCTGAAAAGAAGCAGAGCGATGGCTAATCTCATGAAGTATCGCTGTGTAGTGGCAAGGAGCTCAAGTCCCGATCTTGAAGATCACTTCAGCACAATCTGATGCCACACATACAACATTCAAGTTGAGGTCCTCGGCCAAGGCAAGAGCTTCATTGCATGCTTGCGCCTCTAGCGAGGGCGGGTCCGTAAGACCTTCGAAAACTCTAGCTGAAGCTCCCAAGAAAGTTCCCGCCTTATCTCGGCAGACGACTGCCGCAGCGCCTCTCCCGCCACATCTTGAGACACCACCATCAGCATTAATTTTCACATCGAAATCTGTTGGGGGAATCCATATCGAATTGGTTACTTTGGTCCTTGCATTTTCAGCCGTTACATGCATGTCCTTAGGCGTCGCAAGCCGGTCCTTGGCCGGACGACGCTTGTTCTCAGCCATCAAATCAAGATCTTCCAGGAACTTTGTGACAAAAGCCGAGGTGCTCAGGGGGCTTTGGTATTGATCATCATGGATAGCACGCCGTCTCGCCCACCATATGACCCACATCGTAACCAAGACTGGAACTGCCTCCTTCTCTGGTAAAGTAACAACCAGCCAAAAAACCCATAATCTAGCATCTTCAGTGTGGTTTGAGATAGCAACCTCTATCAGTTCCTCCTCGGCGAGTGCCCACACACATCGGGACATATGGCAATCAAATAAAGAGTGTCTCCAAGTATCAGTTGCCGCCTTACATATAGAACAAGCCGGCGTGTCTGTCATGTTTCTGTGATTCCGAACATCTCCAGTTGGGATAGAAGTCTTGGCTAAACGCTAAGCAAAAACTTTGGTCTTGGACGCGAAGTTTTCGTAGGCAAAACAAAAACAAACAGGGGCCGGCTGGTTGCATGTAGATGTGCACTGAGAAGGCCCATTGGAGGCTTTTTCTTGCTGGTCGTAGTTTCTGAAATAGGTAGCTAGCCACAAAAGCGCAACTAGTAATTTTTTATCCTTGTCTAAAAAAAGTAATTTTTTATCCCCTCAAAACTAGTAATTTTTCAACATCTACATGCAACTAGTAAACACAGGAGAACATTATCTTTTGAACACCGAAAAAATGCAGCGTGTTAGCAAAAGTTTGAACTCGCCATCTGTCTCTGGAAAAAAGAGGTACCTACCCACTTGAATTAATTACCGCTCATGATGAATGTGCTGCGTGATTACTTTGGAACTAGCTGTATCGACAGATCCGAGTATTTCTATTTTTTCAATCATTTCATGAAAATTTTGAATACTTATTGTATACTAGTTCAGAACAATCTGACAAACACGAAATAGTTTTGAATTTTGCTTGACCATTTTTTGGATTTGTAACCAAAATTTTAAAATAGAAAGAATATATAGGTTTGTGAACAAAATTTGAAAAACAGGAACATTTTCAAAATTCCGAATGAGTTTTTTAAAAATACGAACATATTTTTAATTTGTGAGCAAATATTAAAACTTGACTTTTTCTGAATTTTAAAAAATAATAAAAAATGAAAGATTATTTGAATATGTAAACATTTTTTGGAAAAGTGACATTTTTTTGCATCTGTGAAATATTTTTGAAACTATGATTTAATTTTTTTAAAAGCAAACATTATTTGAAATTTGCCAACATTTTTAGAATTTGTGAACAAAAGTTGTAAACAAGAACAGTTTTTAGCTTCAGTTTTTTTTAAATGTGAACATTTTGAAAAATCATGAATTTGTGATTTTTTTCAAAAATAGGAACATTTTCGAAATTTTTAGCAAAATTTGAAATTTTGAAAAAAGAAACAAATAAAATAGAAGAAAATGGAATTTAAAAATTATTTTAAAAGGAAATAAAAAAGAAAAAAAGAAAAGAACGACAATAGAAGGAGAAAAAAAATCAGACCAAAAAACTAAAACTAAAAAGAAAAATCAATGAAACCGGCTGAGAAACCTTCTAGAAGATTCCCGAAATTGGTTAGGAACCTTCTAGAAGGTTCGCAAAACCTGATATTGTAGCGCATGTGTTATCTCGTAATTGGGCTGGCTCATTTCTTTTGCTAGGTCACTCGCTTCTGTACCAATAAGTGACAATTTGTCACAGAGAACGACAAATAGAGATTTCCATGCTTATGATGCTCGACTAGGTCTATATCCACGAGCCACTCGATGGGCTTTGTCTTTCCCACAATATTTCAGCCAGTCATGCCTATCTCTACTCCTGTAAAAGAGGCAGTTCCTGTTGATGGTCTGTCTGCCTCTTTGTTTAGAAGGGAATAAAAATGCAACGGCAAGAGTCGAACCACTGCCTTGCCCAGCTTTTCTCTATGTTCTTCGGCCAGAATGGATAATAGCAAATTTTCTGCCAAAAGTCTGCTAGTGCCGGCCATTCCTCCCCAATCGGTATGCTTCGTCTCTTCCGTTGCTCCTATCGCCTCTCTCCTCCAATCATCCCCTCCCCCCTCCCCACGCCTTCAGCTCCAATCCTCGTTCAAAATTCAAATTTATATGTTGCGCCCGCTCAATTCCTCCTTGGCTTCCCCATCCCTCTTCCTCGTCGTTTCCCTCTCCGCCTCTCTGTTGGAAATATGCTCTAGATTCCTAGCGTGTTCTGCCCCCTAAGCTTTAAAAGGGGGTAAACTCTGTCATCCTCTGGACACTTCATAGTATTTGGCTCGAGCGTAACCGGAGGGTGTTCAAGAACACCTCCCTCCTATCTATGTCTGTAATCGCCAAGGCACAAGACCACTGCCATGAGTAGAGCACGGTGGACAACGGTAGTCTAAAGTGAGTTGTAAAGTAAGTGGTAGGTGGGTTGGTTTGGGTTGTAGCCTTGTACGTGATGGCGCTGCAAACACGGAGGAAAATCTTGTGATTGTAACTTGCTATCTATCTTAATATATAGGCACGCTGATCTCCTGTGTGCTCCCCAAAAAACTTCATTTTAGGTATTTAGAACAATAAAATAGAAAATTTTCAAATCTCACCAAATTTTTTGACCAAGATTATCCTTTATCATCTCCTACTAAAATTCTTTGGAATTTCATCTGGAATGTGGGCGAAACTTTTTTCCCTGGCACCAACGCAAATTTCGACCAGTTTTTTCCCTGGGTACCTACTCGCAAAGGCAAACTTCGAAGTGGGTGACCTAGTTCTTAGACAACAAATACTAAGTAATTGTGACTGTTTCTTAGAAAACAAATGGTGTAGTGCACTATTTGTGCATCGTAGTGTATGTCTTACACTTTATATGATTGCTCAGCTCTACCTGCGAGTCCTCCAAATGCCAAGACTTACATCAATACTATTGTTGAGAGCAATAGCAGACGAGCAAATATGTTGAAAAACCCAACGACCCTCATGACTCAGGTGGTGATCAAGTGTTCAGGCATTAAGTCAGCAGTTACCAACGAGCAGGGCGTCTATATATTGGCCAACCTCGCCGCCATTAGATCACCATCAGTCCAAGCGAGATCTTTTCAGGCGATTCAGTATACTGAGCTAGCGATGAAGCACCCAAGCTTCTATTCACGCTCATCGCTGCTCGTGGCTTCCTTAGCCATCCAATTGATCACGGTGATGGCCAGTGGTGGCGGTGGTAGCAGTGGTGTTACGTCATCATCGACGGTGGCGGCGCTCAAGAACTACAATGCCATGTTCACCTTCGGTGATTCGATGGATGAGACCGGCAACATATGCGCCGCCAGCAGCAACAAGACGGAGCTCGACGTGCTCACTTGCACCCGCTCGCCGTATGGCGAGACCTACTTCGGAAGGCCGGCTTGCCGGTGGTGCGACGGCCGCGTGGTTGTTGACTTCATCGGTAAATGCTTTTCCAAAGTAGCACAGAGCATGCATACATATTTCGATGACCGGCTTTACATCGAAGTAGACAGTTCGGACAAGTTGACAAGGTCTTTTTGGAACTTGGAAGTGTGTGAAAAAATTTAGAAATTTATTCTTCATTAGGTGCATGCATCTAATTTAACCAGCTAAGAGATGTGCTATATTTGAAAATTAATACCAAAAATATATTGTCTACATTTTTATATTTCCTAACAACCCAATAAAACAATATGTTCTGGCCAACATATAAAATGAAGGAATTGAAGTCATGATTCTTGTCATTTTGCAACCAGAAAATTACTATACCAAATAATTCTTGACAGAAAAGAGTGACCACTATGTTGAGAATTTTCTGTGTGAAAAACTTTTTTTAATTTATTTTTATTTGTCCCTGAATGGCAGCACAAGCACTTGGGCTCCCATTTGTCCCACCATCGAAAGCAAAAGGCAAAGATTTTCGGCGCGGTGTAAGCATGGCCATCACCGGCGGCACGGCCATGAACTTCTCCTTCTACAAATCTCTCGGCATCGAAGATCCAGTATGGAACCATGGCTCACTGGACACGC